AAGAATAAAAAAATTAAAAAATGAGATCTTAAATATAAAATAGTTGCACCAAAGTTCTGTCTAAATGTTAGAGAGTTCAAGTGGTGGTCTTCTTTTATTTAAGAACTAGATCTTAAATTTGCATTTCATCATCATTTAGGATACACATTTACATCCATATTTGCATTTATTGCTTATATATATGTTTATTTTTAATTATTGATGTTTATGGTTAGCTATTTAATTATTGTTTAAAAAATTTTTAATTTCAAAAGTAAATAAATAAATAAATTTAAAATAATATTTTGGGGAATATAATTTTTGATATTCTGCCTAGATGTTGAAAAATAAAAAATAATTATTATTTCCAAAGAATATTATTTTTATTTTCAAGAAAATGTTATGGTAAATATTAGATGGAAATTGTTATCTTTGAATTCTCTTTTTATGTTAGAGAATTTTAAGGTATTTCTTTAATGTAGAGATTTTCACAATATTTCTAAAATAAAGAGCTTTAAATAATTTTATTTTTGAAAAATGAAGGGAATTATAATTAAATTTCATATAAAAATCAATTTTGTTCAAAGTTATAAATATCACATAATTAATTGGTACAAATTGTATAGGCGTTATAGGAGTTCTAATCCTTCTCCACATGTAATCAACTTTCGAACCTAATCTCATTTTCTTAGATCAAAATTATCTTTTTAATAAGTTTTAAACTCGTTTTATTATTTTATTAAAAAGGTAAAATTTTTGGGTGACTAATCATAGCCTAAAAATTTTATGATTTTAAATTTTAAATCCTTGTGTTTTCACGATTCTAAATGATTATGTCTAGTAATCGAGTTTTTGGACTGATACGTTATGACATTCGCAATTGCACTAAAATTTTAGTATTTTCATGCTTATTTTTTGTGTAATTTTCTTTATATTTTGACTTGTTCCTTGTAAATTCTTGGCAAAAATGCTCCTACATACATATTTATCTCATGTGTAGGTAAAAATGGAGAAAATGAGGAATTTTACACAATTTGAACATATTTTGAAGGGTTATGGTGAGAAAGATTAGTGAAGGCCAAACTAAATCTAGCAATTTTAAACACGATATGGTGATATGACAAAAATATGACAAGAAAAAATCATATACATGTTTTAAAAAAATGTTTTGTGTTTATTTGCGTAAACACGAATTTCGACATGACACAATCCATGTCGTATATAAGTTGACTCGTCTAAATAGTGACACAACATGAATAATATGTTTAATTTAATCTTATCATATGAGTATATGTTTAATATATTTAACACGTTTAACATATTTTTATATTTATTTTAATTTAATATAAACATAAAAAGATTATTTTAATTTAATCTTTTAATTATGATACTTAATTGGCAATTTAATAACATATAAAAACTATTTCAAACATTTAATTATGATATTCATTTACTAATTATTATTAAATTATTTTTATATTAATAATATATATTCAACATAAATATTAATATTAGTCCTCTACATTATTATTTTATTATTTAATCTTTAATAGTTTATCATTTTGAATGTGATACTAAAAATTAATATAGTTATGTAATATAAATTAAAATTAAAATTAAAATTAAAATATATATTAACTACGTATTAAATAAGTACTAAAATTTTAAATATTTTTAATATGTAAGTACTTTTTTATATTATTAATATGCCAAATTTATTAAGTTGTAAAAAGATAGATAGTTTGTAGTTATTTATTATTTTAGTCGTATTCTTATATATATTCATATTAGTTGTGTCTATTTGTGTGTATTCGTGTTAATTGTGTCTATTTGTGTATATCTGTATTATTCGTATTTATTCATGTTGTGTTTAAATGAATTAATTGTATACCTGTTAATCGTGTCGTGTCATAGGTAACACGTATATTAAATGTGTCATTTTTGTGTTTAAAATTTAAACACATTTTATAATTTGTGTCGTATTTGTATTTTAATAATTTGTGTCATTACACATATCAAATATGACACGAGACACGAAACACAAATTGCAAGATCTAGGCTAAACTAATGTCATTAAGATACTTTTCCTTTTAAGGGAGTTTTTCTTGATCAAATTTTCTTATGATCTCTCGAGCTTAATTGAACTTCATGAAACTTTATTTTAGGAGCTTATTTCTTATAATTTTTATTTAGAATGATTTTCCTTAGCTTAAGCTTGCATTAGTACCTTTCTAGTATCTTTATACATGCTTGAAAGCATAATGAAGAAAAAATTATTTGCATTGGGTGCCAAAATGAAGGAACAAAATGCAACTTGAGCCTTTGGATGCATGGCTAGGTGATTGATGTAACTGGTGCCACTTTTTGGAAATTCAAAAGAGGCTTTAAGGGGATGCTGACTCAGTATTTTGGAGAGCTTCTATTGGCCATAATGTAGACTTTTTGGAGTAGCAAAAACACATGATGGAAGTTGCAACCAGTGAAGAGCATAAGCACTGACAAATAGTTTTGCAACAAGTGATGTAGCAAGGAGAAAATAAGGATTTGGAAAACCCCTCATTTGTAGATATTTTTGGAGAGATTTTTTGGGGTTTAAGGCACCATTCTCCTGCCTATAAATAGGAGAAAAACTGACCATTTTGGGAGACTTTAGCTTAGACTTTAGATTAGGATTTTAATTTTTTGTTCATTTAGATTTCTGCATTTTATTTCTTGTAGTTTTATTTTCCTTCTTAACAAACAGCTTTAGATTTCAATTTTTCTTATTGAATTTGATTGCAAATTTATGTTTCCTGAAGCGTTTTTTCAATTTTCTTTAATATTTTCACAAGGAATTTCTCAAATTCTTATGATTTCATGTTCAAATATTGTGACTTTCACATTGATCTCAATTATGTTTTCAAATTCATGCACCTGACCTAGCTTCAATGATCTATACAAAACTCCAAGATTTCTTGCTTGTTTTTACTCCATTTTTTTTCATAGTTTTTTTAACTTATTAGGCTTTAATCTAGTAAAATTTTAGCTTTAAAATCAATCCCAATCGTTTCAGTTAATTCTTACAATTTGTGGTTGAAATCTTGGAGGCAGTGCATTCCAAACGTGAAAACCATTTTAATGCTTGGATCTTCTCTCCTCTAGGCAATTTGTTTGCTTTTCTTAAAATCTTGCATTATTATATTTACATGTTTGCCTGCTTACTTTCATTTTATTGTAACTTAATTCATGCATTTGATGGTTGTTTGGATGAATTTTGTTGATAGTGTTTTGTTTTTCTCTGTTTTGAGTAGATCTAGAGTTGCTATTTCATTGAACTTATTTTCTTCTATTTTGATGCGATTTTCTTGTTGGATTTTATAGTATACTTGTTGATTAATCTTACTTTAGCTCAGTTTAAGTTCATGTTCTTTAGAAATTTCCAGATCTACATTTTTCTCTTCTTGATTTTTAAAATTTTGCTTCAAAATAGTTTCTGTTTGGTTAAATTTTAGTTCCTTCATATGATTTTTCTTTAGTTTTTTTTTTTTTTTATCTTCTCTTTAATATCTCATATTGTACTTTAGTTGAACCTTAAATTTCTAGCTCCCAATTACCTGTTTTAGCGTCATTTAGATTTAGACCTAGTGATTCATGTTGGTTACAAGTTAGATGGCTAATTGTGAGTTTTTTGGTTTTGCAAGTTGGGTAAGTTTAGTTGTATTTTGCATTCTCATCACTTTATTTTCACTTCAAATTTTATTTTACTTTGATTTAATTCATGCATTTTTCATTTTATATCATTCATGTAGTTTTTATTCTTGTTCATTTTTTTTTAATTTACTTAGCCTTACATCTTTTATACTTTATTTGCCTTTATTTTCATAGTTAGATTTTATGTTAATTTGGGGGTTTGAGCCAACTATAAAAGGATAGCGTGATAATAGATACTTAGCATATGAATTTCTTTACCTAACCTCTATGGGACAATATCTTAATCGAAATGTCACTATTATTACTTATACGTCATGTGCAAACCTAATCAGCCCTTACGTTGCTATGAAGCTAAAATTTTTTTATTCTCACAATAGAATAAGTCATGCCAATGAATTCCAATAACAACTTTTATATACCATGCCACATATTTTTATACACAAAACATGTTCATAGATGTAGTAAAAGTAACTAACATTGCTAAAACTCTCTCAAAACTGAAAAAATATTAATAATAATATGTAAAGGCTGTCCTTAAACTTTAATTTGTTTGAATTTGTTGCCAAGTCATCAATTTAGATGAAATTTGTTTTCTTCCTTACTTTTGTTGGATCTCAAATCTCACAAAATTTATAGTTGCTGGATGTCTAAGGCACTGGGTCTTTTTAGTTCTTTACATTAGGTTTCAACTTTGAGCCATGTTATCGATAAAGGGGAATATATAAACATTGTAAAAGAAATTATTAAAGTCAACCTAAAATTGGAATGAAGGAAAAACCGATGAAATAGGTCACTTATTGACTTTGAATTCAGAACTTACATAATGAATTGCATCGCCGTCTTGGCCCATAATCGAATACCACTTTTGCATACCACTAACCAATGAATGTTGAGAAAGGAGTAAATCAACTGTTGTAATCAACTACAATGCAGGAGACCACCTGAGAAACTACCACTCTCAAAAGCAAAAAAGTGAAGCAGTAACCAAGCATCTCCAAAAGTATAAATAATCATTTTGTCATAAAAAAATTCAAAAAAAAGTTTTGAATATGAATTTTAAATTAAAATTTTGAAAAAATTTGTGAAATTGATCCATATGAAAGAGAATTAATGGGTTGGGGATTTAATAAGCAATTCATAGCAATATTATGTGGTATGTTTCATATCTTAGGAGTTCGGATTTCACATTACATCAAAATATACTTTAGTTTCATTTTAAGCAACAAAAACCTCACAAATCCAAACAATCAAATAAGTTCAAATAAATTATCTAAATTATAGCCTAGATTTATGAAAATATGATATGCAATTCAGTTAGTAGAGATTTACCATCATTTGGCGTAGGCAGATCTAATATGACTAGCCCCAATTACACCAACTATCTGTCCTTTAAGCAAGTTTTCCACAAACTTTTAAGAGAACAAAAAGTGGAATTGCACAATCGTGATGTACTTCACATTTGGAGTTTATCATCTATGCTTATCAAAAGTGAAAAAATAAGGTATATTTGGTGGACATACGGATGAGGGAGCCATCCATCATATAAGCCTACCATCATGAACTGATCTATTTCAATAATTCTTATAGCGACTGCTAAAGATAGAGAAGCTGCTGGTTCTGCTGCTGTTTTTGTGAGTACCCCCTAAACCAAATCAGCACTATCATTAGCTTAACATTTCTATCTTAAAATTACTAAACCATTTTTATTAGTTGTCACCATTTTCCACACACTAAGGCTAGTCAGATAATAGAACCAAATCATTGCAATTCATTTATTATTTTAACATTAAAATCCATTGCTATGACCATATAATCAATCATGTGGAATTACAAGAATCCACATATGATTAAATTGGTACAGAATATAAGATCAGAGAATAAACTTATTTGCAGCTATATAGAAAAGTAAACTTACAAGAGTGTTACCAACAGCAATACCATACTTGTTGGCAGTATTGACATCAACATTGTTGTAACCAACAGCCATGTTACTAAAAGCTGTGCCTTCTATTTTGCTTAATGCAGCAAACAAAATCTCCCCCCAATCTTCAGTTAACTATAACACAAATTCTAGACCTCAAAAACTAAGAAACAAAATAAAAAAAAGAACCCACGCTTTTGAGTTTTAAGTAGAAACAAAATCGCAAAAAGAGAATACCCATCCAATCACCCTATCGCACTTATGGCCAATCAAAGTAATGATATCCTCAACAGACAAAATTGTTCTTTTCTCAGTTCATATCTAAATAAAAATGAGCAAAACTTGTAAAAAAAGATTTCACCAAAAAAAAAAAAAGAAAACAAAAATAAAGGATTTAGAAAAAAGAAAAATATGATTACTTCAATGTGGCAATCTTGTTCGATTAAAAGGTTGTCTAGCGAGTTCCAGGTATAAGCTTAGTGCTAACAACTTTGTATTCCCCTTTTGGGTTCCAAACTTCAATTGACACTGGTTTTGCTCACTTAAAATAAAGTACAAATAGAGGTTTTCAAATTTCAGTCACTCTGTTTCTTGGTTTTTGTGGCAGTGGTTCTTATATTTACATCTATAACAAATCAAATAAAAAACTAGATAGAAGCTAATTCAACACAAAAGTGTTTTTATGAATTGACGATGGAATTACTTGAAGAATGCTTGGAATCAATATTAGATTTCTTAGAACACAACCTTTATTTCCAGCCTCTTTAGTCTGCAATAAATTTCTTTCCATCACCACTCATCTCCGTGACACTGTCATAATCATTGACCCAACCCTGGAATCCTTCCCTTGTTTCTTCTACTTCCAAACCTTAACACAATCATTTTTCATGACTTCCAAGGCAATCTTAATTCTGTTCTTTCCCAGATTTCACTATTTGGGTTCTCTTGAAATCCCTTGACGTTTCAAACCCAAAGAGTTTTCCTTTCTTGGGTTTGAAATAGTTAGGGTTCCAAAATAAGGAATTTGACATAATTGAATTGCTCAAATATTAGGTCTTTGAAAGACTCTAATTTGATTAAAATTGGGAATTGTTTCCCTTTTCTTGAATCGGTTGATATTTGTTACTTTGACCACAGAAGGAAAGTTATCAGACACATGGCCTTCATATACAAATGGCCTTCACGCATAAACAGGTAGCTGACAAATGGGTTTTTAATGGCATTAGCTACATGAATACCAAAGACAAAAGAAGGGGCTTAAAAACCACCTTTCATAAACATATCCCAATCTTAAAAGCCATGTTTCAACCCAAGCAATAAACAATTCAAGAGAGTTTTTACCAAAATTAACCACCCAATCATCCTTAAATACATTGCTAAGCTGTCTATGTTAAAACTAATTGAGGATAGTTTTTATATTATGTAATAGATACTAGTATCGTTTTAGTTTTCTATGGAAAACGCTCAATTTTTTTTTGTAGCTAGCATAACCTCTTATGAGAAATTATATCTCATTATATACATTTAGGAATTATGTAACGGTGTTTGATCTGTTGCCAAAACCCTATAGATCTGATTTGCAGTTAGCCAATTATTATTGTTGAATTTAAAGTTTATGAAAATCAATTACCAATAGACCAACTATTTGCTTTTAATCAAATAATCATAACATACCAATGAAGGCTTTGTTTATCTGTATATAATCTAACATATAACGTATCTGTCTTGGCGTGTATAGTTGCTCTCTATTTAACTTCTTAGTAGACTACAATGTCGGATCACTGAGTAATTTAAAATTCATTGAACCGTGTTTTGTATAGAGAATCATCATTTTGAGTTAAAAGTTAATGTGGATGGATGCCTTACCAAAAGGATCAATTCTTTTGGCTTTTTAATCAAAGAAAGCATTTTATGTGAAAAAGTATCTATCAAGTCTTTTACAAAAAATTCTTAAGTAGAAATGAGATTTTTCTTACAAAAAAAATATTAAAAATAAAAAATTTTGTCCATAAATTTACAATTTATTTATGAATTAATTGTATAGTGATAGAAATCATATGATAAAATAAAGTTTTTGATCCATTGGATAGAGGATATGAGATAGTTGGTTCGAACTCCTACGTTACATATTTTCTTAAAGATATTTTAACCGCTAAATTAAGAAGCTAGAGAACTCAAAAAAATATTAAAATTAACTTTTGTGACAATATTTTATAAATTTCCTATGGAAATAGTCCGATAATAAAAGTTATCTACTTTTGGTGGAATTTTCCTTTTCAATGGAATAACTTTTAATGTCTTCATTTTTTTTTCAATAGAAAATTTTGCGTTGGAAAAGCATTTTTTGACAAAAATCAATTTTATGAACAAAAAAAATTCCATCTATAAAAGTCTTATTTCTTGTAGTGTCCAAAGGACTCATGCTAATCTTTCAATAATATATATATATATATATATATATATAAAAGAGGGATTTACTTACACTAATATAAGTGTTATGGATTTTTTTTTATCATTAAATTAAAATGGCTAAATGTAAGTGTTATGGATTTAATTTTGATCCAATAATAAAAAAAGTGTGTAACATTTACACTAGTATAATGTATCCCTAATATAAAAAAATAATTTCACACATGTATTTAACATTTGGTTTAATAGATCCAATAAATCACAGAGACAAGTAAACATAGAAAAAATAGTATAATCTCATCCTTTAGTTTTATTAAAATTAATGGTTAAAAAAAATGTGTAAAACTAAAAAAGTTTTGCATTGTGTAAATCAATCTCTCCTCTTTATATATAGAGAGAGGGATAAAGTTATACAAAAAGTTTTTATACCTTTTTACATCTTTTTTTAACCATTGATTTAAATAAATTCAAGAGATGAGATTAAGTAATTTTTTCTCTTTTTCACTTATCTCTCTCATCCCTTTGATCTATTAAAATCAATAGTTAAAAAAGTGTAAAACTTTTAGTTTTACATTGGTGTATGTTTTTTCACCATTGATTTCAACAAATCAAAGGGATGAAGAGATAAGTGAAAAAGAGAAAAAAAAAGATTTAATTTCATCTCTTGGATTTATTAAAATCAAAGGTTAAAAAAATGTGTAAAACTTTTTGGTGTAAGCCTATCCTTCCCCATGTATCATTTATTTTTATATATAAAAGTGTAAACTTTAAAAGTATTAAAAGTGATCGACTTAAATATTTTTATCAATTTTTAAATTAAAAAACTTATCCTTAAATATATAACTTTTATTAATTAATTTAAGTTTAATTTAAATAAACTAAAATTAAAATAGAATTTATGTGAAATTAAATTACTTAAAATTTTAATTCAAAAAATGTTAAAAGTGATTGAATAAAATATTCTTAGTAATTTTTTTATAAATTTTAATTTAAATGAATTTTCTTTCTTATTATTAGGCTTTTTTATAATTAAACAAAAAAGTGCTAAAGTGATTAACTTAAATTACTTGAATAAAATTTTAATTTAAAAAATGTTAAAAGTGATTGATTAAAATACGATTAGTCATTTTTCATAAATTTTAATTTAAATGACTTTTTTATTATTAGACTCATTTTTTTAAATTAGAATGATTTTTTACATCAAATGAAAGTACAAATAAAATGAGATCAAAGCTTAATATGAATAGAAATAGAACAATTATATGGAGTTTGTTTCTTTAGTTGTTATAAAAACGATTATATATGTAGTTCATGTTGATAATTACAATTAATTTTTCTTTTGTATTTTTTTCTTATAAAATTTTATAATTGTTATTCTCATAAACAAAAACTACTATAAAATAAAATGCAAATCAATTGCAAATTATTTGCCAACAATTATCACTATTTGATTGATTAAACATTTTAATTGGACTTTCTATCTGTAGAATTAAATGATTTAGGTGGTGGTGGAGTTACTAATAGCTTAGAATTGAGTTCGATGAATTATCATAAAAATTGTTCACCTTGATTGAAATAGTAGTTGATTTAATTTTTTAACTTTTATTTTAATGTATATATATATATATATGACTAATTTTATCTCAAGATTATTTAATTTTTCTCAATTGTATTAAATTGTTCATATTTTTTATCATCCAGGTGATTGAACTACTTAACGTGAATTATTCAAAGTAGAGATTTATCAAGTGAAGTAAAAGTAATTATTTTTTATTAATTTTTAAAGTCTAACAAAATTCATTGAAACTATCTTTTGAATGTGTTTTTGTCAAAGTTACATTCATTCATGAAAATTTGTGTTGCTAATGCTAAAAATGAAATAATTATAAATTGTATGAGTATTACATAACAAGTTTGTTATTCTAATAATTGAAATTTTCTTAAGAAAACATGACAAATATCAAGGTTAGAAACTTATTTTATTTCATTTTAATTTTTAAAATTATGTATTTAAATATTTTTATATAATAAAAATTTATATATAATAAAATTTTTAAAATAAAAAAAATTAACCTTTCGATTGGTAGAATGTACAATAACATTCAATTGATGGAAGCACTAATGGAAGACTATCCTAAACAGAAAATTAAGATGAAAAATTGATTGATTATGCATAATTCTATCTTTTCCATATGACAAAAAAGTTTAGTGTTATAGGATGTTTCAATACAAAAGTAAAAATATATTGATTTAAATTTTTTTAGAATTAATATAAAACTCTTTTATTAAGAGAAACATTGTATACTCTTTTAATTTTTTTTTATATCAATTGAAGAATATTTATTATAGTATCAAATTTTTAAAATTGCCATATTAGACAATATTTGTTCAAAAGAATTAAAATTCATCAAATTAATTATTGTTATTACATTTAATATAAAAATATTAATATAAATTGTAACTTAACTAAACTTAAAAGTGGTTTATAGGATTACTTACCAAATTTTATTTTAAAAATCTTTATTTAATTATGTATTTAGTATTTTAATTATTTAAAATTTTAACTTTTCATAATTTTGAGCTGGAGTTTAGACTTACGATCAGTGACTAATTAGATTGAGTCAAGTTTTATTATTTACTTCTCTTCATCATGTATTCAATTATTACTTACGCATCTAAGCAAATTTGATTTAATAATTTGTACGCACTTCTGTTTGTTTAAAAGTTAGATTCAAATCATCTTAAATTCAAATAAAAAATATAAACTCAATTACTTATAATTACAATTTAAAAATAAGATATTGCCTTAAACCATAAAGACAATAAAAATAAGATATTTAAAATGAAAAAAACTTAAATAAGGAACTTCTAAATTGTTACTGTCGCAATGTCTCGAGGCCTAAGGTGGGTGACCTAAAAGCCAGACAAGTTGAGAAATTGGAAAACAAGGGGCTAAAAAGCATTTTCAATAAAAACAAAATAAAGAGTTGCCAAGAATCTTTTTTAAAGTATGATTAACCACCCAAAAATATTGTCCTTTTAATAAAACATTTAAAACGAGTTTGAAGTTTTATAAAAAGAATAAATTTGTGGTTAGTGAAATCAAAGTTTAGGTTTGGAAAGTCGGTTACATGTGAAAAATGATTAATACCTTCACAACGTCCATCAAAGATTGTACTAATGGATTACATATTATCATTTAATTTTGATAAAAATGGTCCTATTTTTCAAATGTCCTAAAGTAATTCCTTTTCGTTTTTTTTTTTCAAAAAATAAAGACAAATCAAAATTTAAAATCAAACCTTTTATTTTTTTTTTGGTTTTTGATTAAGATAAAACTTCTTAAATATTGAAACACCTCTTTTATTCCCCTATGATTAG